GTCATTTGATAGAGTAACACGAACATGTCATGAATCGCTGTGTGGCAGGCAGGAGTTGGACCCAAAATGCAGGCACTCAGGCACGAGGTTTAAACACAAAGAACTCAGTTTTATTTGCTGGCAGGGGAAAGTCATACAAAAGCAAACTAAACTAAACTGGAAACTCACAAACTAAACTCACAGTGAGACACAGTGAGATCCACACAGCATGAGGGACAACACAACACTGACTCAGAGAAACACAGGGTTTAAATACACTGGGAAGTAACGAGGGGAATGAGACACAGAAGGAGAGCACAGCTGGGGGAAATCAGAACTGATGAGACAAGGAAGCATAAAGTGAACACACTGAGATCAGACGCGGACTTTCAAAATAAAACAGGAAACACAAACACAAAGACAGACTAAGAGACACGGGCTTAACACAGAGAACTGACTACATTACAGGGGATACACAGGCATACACAGGCAGAGACGACGGAAAACAGAGGGAGCACAGAATAAACACTGGGAAACCAAAACACAAACTGTCATAATTTATAATATCAAAAATAAGAGTACAAAAATCAAAAACACGGGGTCACCGACCCAGAAGAATGACAGAAAGTAAAGTAGCGAGTAGTGTAACGAATTACTGTCTTACTGTAATGTGTAACACAGTGCTTTTTTTTTGAGTAACGATCCCAACATTTCTCCTAACCCTAACCCTGACAAGCTGCTACCATCACCCTTTCATCCTCCAATTGTCTCATCCAGTTTAAATTCAGCTGAACTAAATTTATAGCCCAAGTTCAACACAGCTGTCTTTTCAAGATCCTTCATATTTTAAAGGTAAGACCCAACCATAACAGACAGAGAACCAGATCAGGCTATTCTCTATGAGTAAGTGCACTCCACCAGGACCAGAGAGTTGGGGAGGGGTAGCCATATGTTCAAATCACCAACATGGTCAATGAAAACACTCACATTAAGGCTCCCAGTGGGACTTCACCAACCAACGGGTGACAGGTCATCTTTTATACGCAGTCAGTGTATAAGAAACACCATCTTCTGTTATTAAAATAAAGCAGTTACACTTACAAAAAATGTTTGATATTTGATTACTGTCCTGCTGTATGAAGAAATGTATACGTTATTGTGTGAATGTATTCTTCTTTGGTTCATACACCATTCTTCCACTCTGCTACTCCATACCGGCTTTATCATTTTTATATTACAGCACCGCACATTCTAACAATTCAAGCTGATTTTTCACATTAAATGTCCCCAACAGTCAACCCAGCACAGGCTTGATGGAAATGGAACCAGAACATTTTTGTCTCCTCTCGGTTAAGCTACCATGAATTGTTGATTACGTTTTAGTAAAATAAAAAACTGATTGACAATTTGCAGTGATTTTAGATGAAGAGTAGCATGCGGTGAGTTCATGTCAACAAGGTGAAAAACTGTTTATCAAACGCTGTCCTGTTAATGTAAAACCACTTGAGCCTTATCCGGATCAGTTAATCAGTGAGTGACACTCACAGTGTAGCACAGCAACCAAATGGAAATATAGCAGCACTGACGTGGATAAGATTAAAATCCAACCCTTTAACCCCACTCATCCTTCTTAAACCCTCCTGCAAAAGTACTTTTCGGCACATTTACACTTCTAACAGAAGGCTATGAGTCTTCTTCTTTTTGGGTAGTTTAACATTAACTCTGTTGCAAATTAGGGAAGAAGCGCATAGAGAGGAAAGGGTTGATGGAAAGATTAAGCTTACACTTGGAGAGAGGTTTGGAATTTGGCTCCTATACTGTAAGTTGAAAGAGAAAGATAAAGTGTCTCAAAATATAAGGCAGAAGAGGGGAAGGGTGAGATTAACTGTACTCTAACTTCAGGCAGGGAAGGATAGAGGTACACGTATTATGATATAGTGGAGAAGAAGAGAATTCTTACACAGCACAACCGGAGGGACAATGATAGGAGGATGGACACGCCATTAGAAAAAAAATTGAATATACTATAAACTGTAGCTTTAACTTTAAACTCAAAGATGAATAGCTGTGATATACAGTGAGTAACCATGGTAACGCTGCATGTTGAGCGAAAGAGACTAAACACTGCTTTCACAAGACGCGTAGAGTATAGGTTTCGTTTGTGAAAGTGACAAAAAGATTGCATTTCCAGAATAGATGCAGTCACAGGAGAGTTAATCTTCATCATGAAACACACCTTAAGCTCCAGAGGTGCTGTGGAGTCTTCAAAACACCACCCACCTCCATCGTTTGTCCTTCAGATGTCTCATCTCTCCACCATCTGACGAGCTACAACTGCAAATCCTCACTCGTTCATAACAGACTGTAGTAAGCCAAGAGATTAAAGGTTTTTGAAATTCTAGCACTTCCACTGTGAGACAGAGTGCAGTATCATACCAGATTAGTCATCATCAGACAAATGCCACAAGTGTAACTGTAATATTTATTTGACCTTTTTCTTTTAAAAAAAATTGCATTGCTGGGATCAAACTATACCTTTTGATTTCATGAAAACTGCATCAGATTAGGTAGTCACTGAGTGATAGATACTAAAGACAGCAGAAACACGTTACTTTTTTTTTTTTTTTTTTTGCCTGTCCCGTTTGGCTCTTTTGCCATCAGAATTGTTGTCTAAAGGCAAAGAAAGATGCCCAACGGATTTACTTTACCAAATTGACCATCCCAGCCTTGCCATAATGGTCCATTTGATTCACCTTTTATTGTTTATTTTATTTTCACTTGCTGAATACGGGACAGACTTGACTGGGGGAAAGAAGGGGAGAAAGAAAGAGGGAAAGAGAAACAGCTGAGAAGAGGGACGGGGGAGAAGGGCAAAAAACAAAAACCAACAGAACGGGCAAAAAAAAAAATGCATATATCAATCACCTGGATCACCTGCTGAGAAAGAAAAAAGAAAACAAGCAGAAGAGAACAAGAGTAATAGAATAAACAACATCACAATGATATATGGGAATATGACAGTAAATACTAAATATTAAACATTATTGTGCAGCACATAAGATCAACAGAACACAGTGTGCTTTGAGGTAGGAGCCAAAAAGGGTGTAGTTTGTGTGTGTGAGCACCCGTGTGTACACCTGTGAGCATGGACGCGCTTGTTTTTTTAAAAGGTTCCTTCATGTAATGATCTGCTAGAGGGTGTGGCAGGTCCTCCAGGGCATGAAGCAGGTATGGAGGAGATCAAAACTCCAGACATCCAGAGGCCCCCAGAACACAAGAGACCAAGGAAGACCAACAGAGGGGCAGCCGCGCCACTGTCCCAGAAAGAGCTGAGGAGAGTCCCAGATGAGGGCTCACTCAGCAGCCGCGGAGCAGAAGCCAGGGGGAGTTGCAGTGACGCGCCCGTGAGCTCCGCCGGCAGCCAGCTGTGCCTGAGTGACCGAGCCCCAGGCCGAGAGGCCGGGGGCACCCCACCTCCGAAGTGGCCCGAGCGAGCCCCAGGCTCCAGGCCCCGATAAGCGGCCGCCAAGGAGTGAGCCGGTGTGTACCTGGACGCCCATCCCCAGACACAAAGAACCACCAACGCACCGATGTCTGAGGGAGTCCGCCACTGGCAGGGGAAGTGGTGGTGGGTGGAGATAGGCCTCCAAACCTTGGAGGGCCTGAGATGTCCCCAGAGAGGTGGCGTCTGATACCCAACCTGACATATAGACACAGACATACAGGCACACACAGACACAAACATCCATTCCCACCCTCATGCTCTCATATGCACTTACTCCACACTCAACCAACGTGGAGACAGACATAAAGAGACGCTGTACACACGATCACACTCCCCAAGCGTACTCTACGAACCGGGTCTAGGTACCCTTGCCCCTGGAGGGGGGAACTGCACCCAGACCCAGGTGGTGTTACCCTTTTCCCTGCGGTGGGGAGAGGCAGACCCCATGCAGCGGAGGCCCCACACTCCAGACCGCAGTCGGAATGAGCCTACGTGTCACAAGGCCGTTTGAAGTTATTCATCAACTGGATGAAGCAAAGATACTATTGGTGGTATCGTTAAGGTTTTAATTTTTAGTATTGATTAGTATCTGAGTACAGTTTTCTTTATCAATCCTTGTGGCCAACTTGGGTGAAACGAGGAACTGAGAATAGCTGACTAAGTGATCTTAGGTTTTCTGGTTTGAGTTCACCTTCGGATGCTGACATCTCTGAGTTTTTGTGCCTTATCCATGAAAAAGATAAGAAGACAAATTGACTAAGCTAATATTTAAAAAAACATTAAGTTGTTCCAGTGTAGCAGCTGTGTGATGTCACTGAACATCTGTCACTGTTCTAACATCTGCACATTTATTCGCAGTGAATGTCTCTGAGGTGTGCACCTGCATGCCATTGATATTATTTGGAGAGCAGAGAGTGTATGTGGAGATACAGTATCACCTGATGTGTGGATTCTATTAGGTCAACTCATTCAAATTGAGTCAAAATTATTCACTGGAGCAAAAAAAAAGGTTTGGGCCACCAGGAAATGTCATGATACCGAAAGTGCTCATATGGAGCTTATTTTCCTGTTGTTAGGGTTCTCGTTTGATGCAGTCTGTGAGTAAAAGCACAAAAGACAATTGAAAAATCATGATTTAACACCATAATGTGCATCCATCTCTCAGTGCAGCCAGTCCAAAAAAAGATGCAAATACGTGAAACCTTCAGATAGGTTTAACAGAAGTAATCACAATTTTTACCAACCAGAAAAGACAGGTAATGATCCACACATCAAATGTGTTAACCTGAGAGCACAGGAACAGCAGGTGAATCTAAACTAGACAGAAATATTGAAAGCAGAGAATATTGTCATAAACAATAACCAACAATGCTATACTGATTCATCTGGAGTTAGTGGATACTATAGTTTTCTTTTTTTAAACATGGACTGTGTAGGTCCATGTGTATAAGTTTATACTGGCTATTTCTTGGGATCTCTGTACCATCTAAAACTCACAGCAGTCTGCTTCTTTGTGTGCTTGTACCTCAAGTCTAAATGGCTCTGCAGGGGGAGGTTTTGTAGGCGATCAGCAGACTACTGGCTGGTTTGGGTGGGTAAAACAACTCAGTTGGCTGGATTGAGCCCTCCCTTGCCCTTAGCTATTCTATTCTATTCTAAATCACAACAACAGTCGCTTCAAGGCACTTTATAATGTAAGGTAAACTGCCTACAGTAACACAAAGCTAGAACAAACTTAGCTTAAAATTATAGCAAAAATGTATTTTTAGGCTGTTTCATGTTATCCATATGTCTAAGTAAGTAAATTTTTTTGTAAAGCACCTTTCAAGATAAAAATCACAAAGACACCACTGAGTCTACAGATCTCAAGAGTCTGGGGGCCACAGTTACAAAAGCTCTGTCACCTTCCATTTTCAGCCTCATATGAAGGACAACTGACAAACCTTGATCACATGACCTCAGGGGCCTGCTGTGGATGTATGGATGTAAAAGATTAGGGATGTATGTTGGTGCGGGATGGTGCCAGTGCAGCTGGATCAGCAGTGGTGCAACATGCAAGTACTTGGGAGACTTGGACAGGAGCCTTGCAGCAGCGTTCTGAAAAACCTGCAGACGTTCCAAGGAGGCCTTACATAAACAAGAGAACAAAGAATTACAATAATCCAAACGAGATGAAACAAATGCATGTATGACAATTTCCAATTCAGAGCGTGACACAGTGGGACTCAGCTTAGCAATGTTTCTCAAGTGATAAAAACAGGAGTGAACCAGAGATTTACCATGAGTGTCAGAGCTACAGAGTCTACACGTTTACCCCATTCACCCCTATTCATCAAGCAAATAAAATGATCCTGTGTAACACCTGTTTCACACTTTGTGTTGGCTCGAATGCAAGAACGTGCTTAATTTATGTAAAAAGCATAACTTGCAAAACCATATAAATAAAGTAAGAAACAAAATGAAAATGAAAAATTACATGGAATTGAATTAAAACTGAATCTATTCCATTTAGATACAACAGCTTTAACCATCTGCAGTATAAATATAAATTCCTTGAGCACACATGACTAAGCAGAAAGTGAGACAATTGCATTAAGGTCGATTTATTCGCCTTTCTCCATGCAGGTAACTGTTTCTAGAGGAACGAAAATGCTTGTTTCCTTGTTAACAGCTGTGTTTCTGTGAACTTTAAACCAAGATGCGTAGTGGATTTCACAGGTCCTACAACACCATGACATGTACTCCTCCTTGGATACATAACCACTTGTGGCATAAGGAGGCTCGATAATCACTACTGCACCTGCTAGATTTTTCAGCCGTCCTCTGGATTATATCCACGGGATACATGTTGGAAAGAAACCAGTAAGGGTGCTTTTTTGTTTCTGTCCAATTTCAGTTACAATTTCATACATCTGAAATAATTACATTATGTCAAAATTTCACACAGAAAAAATTCTTTGTACAGTATCTTTATTTTTTATTTTTATTTTTTTTTGG